TTTATTTGGAATTATGAAATTAGCCCCATTATGATATGTGAACTAGCCTCAAGATGGGCTGATGGAGCTTTTTTGTATATTTAGGCTGCAGTTATAAATATATTTAGTGGGAAGTGGGTTCATTCATATGTCACATTAAGCTGAGCTTTGCCTTAACCATGATTTGTTGCTTAAGCCAAAGTTGCCAAGACAAGAAATTCATCTCTTCCCCAGTTCTGGTTTGTTTCTCTTACACTCTTTTGTCACCTCACGTTTCAGTCTAGTTAGTAGGGAAAACAATAAGGGAAAAGTGATTGTTGTGAGTTCTGATATCACAACAAAATAGCTTTGAAGAAGCTAGAGTTTATAAACCATGGCTTATAATTGAGATTTGTGGCTAGTTAAAAATCTTGTTAGCAGAGGTGGATTTCTTCATCAAGATTTCAAGAAACTATATCATGGTTTGCTGTCATGTGTGAATGTGTCAGTAAAACTTAAATTTCTCATAAATAAATGAGAATCGTGTTGTACTTTTAATTGATTTAATACAAAAAATGAGTTTCAACAAATACTACAGGTACAAAAGAGGATTCTCTGCATAAGAAGTCAAATATCCATACTGTCATTATCATTTCAGGTTTGAGGATTACTAAAAGTGTGACATCTCGACCCACAACTCCTTCGACTTTACATATACCAGATGCAATCCAGTTGAAAGATATTGTTTGTTATCTTTCCCTTCTTGAAAGAGGAAGACCTGAAGATAAACTAGAATGTACGTATTTTATGTCAATAGACTAAATACTGTTTTAAAGATCCTCTCAGCTAACCAATTTCTGTCATCTGTTAACATATGTATTTTTTCATTCAAGATGAAATGATTCATAAATGAACTACAACTTATCTTTAATAAGATAATGAACTTATCTTTAATAGCTGTATGAAATGACCCACAAAGCCCCATATGATTCTTTTACCTTTGACACACTAGACGAGGGGTCGGCAACCTACGGCCCGTGGGCCACACCTAGCCTGCCAACCCCCGCCGCCCGGCTCCCACCGCGTGCGCTCCCACCACCCCGTGCATCGCGACTGCCATTTTGTTTGCAAAAATGGCAGACGCGACTCGTTTGTGCATGCGCAGGAGTACTACGCATATGCAAATGAGTTACAGCTGCCATTTTGGCAAACAATGGCGGCTACGCTGCACGAGGCAGTGGTGGCGGCGCGCGCCGCCTTCCCCCTCCCCCAGCCTGGCGGAAGACCAGGGGACCAGCGACCGGCCCCAGGTACGTTAACGTTGCCGACCCCTGCACTAGACCAATGGTTCTCAAACTTTACCCTTGTAACTCTCTTTACATCTACACACAGGTGTTGCCCCCCCCCCCCCGGTGTAGTATATGAATAAAAATATTTTGTGTTTTCACATGTCTATTTTTGTTTGCATATTCATGTATATTCATATTTTATAAGGAAATAACAGTGTAAATAAGAACAGTTTTATTTAAATAAATTCAAATTTTAACTCAACACATGTTTAAATTTTACACATAAGAAGCTTTGGGAAGAGGAGCATGAGGAGGAATCAGGGTCTCCAATTCTCATGCCCCCTTGAGCAACTCTCATGTTCCCCCTGGAGTTCTGCCCCACCATTTGAGACCCTACTGCATTAGACAGTTAAATTATTGAATACCATTGTGGGTTGTTTCTTCAAGACAGTGTGTCTGTGATATACAAAATGTTTGGTCAGCCAGATTTGCAAGTGATTCATGAATTAGCTGGCAGAGTTTCCTTAAACACTGGAAACTGCTTTTGGATTGCTACAGATTTCTGCTGTCATTCTGATTCAGTAATCCACATACACTGTCGGAAAGTAGATGTGGGAACCTCTACAATTGTTATGCACATGTATGATTTTCATTAACTAAAAGGCATTTTGATGTAATCATATGCAAACTGACATTGTTCATACACATGACTTGCCATTATAAGTAGATTCATGAGGGAATAATAAAAACAGAAAGCAAATGAGTTGTGTATTCCTATGAGTTGTTACAGAGTTTGGCATTATAGAATAAACGAATGGCAAGTTAACTAATTTATCACTGCCATTTTGGGCCTAAAACTATGCAGTTTGCAGCCCCAAAATTTAGTAGGCTGTAATTTAGCGTATAATGCAATGAATCATAATTGGCTTATGAAGCTTTCTCTATCAGTGACACTTTGGGATGGTTCAGATGTAATACCAAATCATATTTTAATGTTTTCTCATTCAGCTCCTGTGTTATCCCATCCCATTCTTTTGCTTGTAAGAAAGAGTTTGGAAAATTTTGTTTCCATTTTAATTAATTTCAGCTTCTTGTGTTGCCTGAACTGGGCCAAAATCCTATCAATTTTAAATGTGATAGACAGAACCAAGCCAACTGCAAACTACAGTATATGAAAAATTGTCATGAAAAATTGTGGTGATTGATCACAGATTAGGACAGGGATGCAAAGTCTTTTCAGCTCTTAGTATTGCATGTGATGCAGGCATTCACAGATGTGCTCACACAGACGTGTGCACAGACATACATGCACATACCTCAGCAATCCTTGCTTCTTTCCTAGGAGGAAGTGAAGAGCATCAAGGAACAGTTTGTATGAGGCTCTCTGGGAGAGATAATAGAGTTTTCCTCTTTATTCTCTGCCTAGAGATCTTCACTACTAGCACCCACTGGGAATCTGCATATAGGGAATGTATATGAAATTGGTATTGGGATAGAATTCAATGGCATTGGGATTAGGCCACACTTAAAGCTTGAGGGAGACATAGGTTGCACACTTTTGCTTGAGGGTTTGAAAGGAAGTTAGGCTCAAATGGTAGTGGAAGCTTTTGAGCAGAAGCGGAATGCTTCCTGGAGAACTCAGGCATCCTGAGGCTCACACCAATAATGCTACATTTTTTTTAGCAATATATTTTTTTAGCACACTCATTTCTAAGTATCCTAGATGCTATAGTATTTTAGTTCCCATAACTCTCAGACAGAATGATTGCTGGTCAGAGCTAATGTGGATTTGTAGTTCAGCATGCTAGAAACCATAATTGAGAAAAGCAGATTTTGTGTTATGTCTATATGCAGCTGATAGAAGTGATACCTTTAAAAAAAAAACACTGGCCTCTGTTGCTAGGGATGTTTTGGATGGATAAGAGACAAAAAAGTAGCTTGAAATTTTTGGGAAAAGTGGAGGTAAAGCTTTTTGGGATGGAATTGCTTGTGGGAGGGATGAAGGAAGGAAAGGAGTATTTTCTGGTCCTGTGTAGCTCTATACTGAGAAGATAAAAGTACAAAAATATATTATTCTGTTGAATTATTGAATTCCTTTTATTGAAGGAAACACAAGAGAAAACACAACACCAGTAAGAAACAATGAGAAAGATGACCAGTATAACAGATCCATATTATTAATGTAATAATGAGAAGAATTTCTGAGTGTATTTCTTATATTGTGAAAATATCTGTTCCAAAATATACATACTTAATGTGTTTTAAAGAAATGTATCCGTATTTGATTGTATCCAGACTATATTCAATAGTCTTTTATAGGGTTTGAAGAACTTTGATAGTAGCAATATAGATTATTATTAAACTCTGCTGTGGAAATGCAGACAATAG